AAACCCATAATCTGGGTTCAAAAAGAGGCTTTAATTGTTGATCAAGCTTTTTTGAAAAACGCCACCCATTTCATTCAATTCGTACAGGTTAGAACGATTCCTAGGACCAGGTGATTTAAACGTCAGCGTATTATCCTCTCGAACGTTTCCTGTACCACTTTATCCTTATAGAATCACGTAAGACTAGGTTGGTGTGAGCAAAAGCCGATCCTAGATCGTAAACGTCGTTTGCTGGGATAATGGTCACTCCCCCACCTCCTGAATCCATACGGTGGGAAAGCAAGGCAAATGCATTCCTCTGAACAAAACTCCTAAGGAAGAAGGGTATCACAGCATCGTTTGGTGTTGTCGTTCGCGCAGTGACACCGTCTAATCGCAATTATGTGGTCGGGGGCGTGCTGAACTACTTAGCAAACAGCTTAATTTTGTGGGGTCGTTGTTGGCTATTTTTCGGCACACCTCTTGCGCTTTTGTAGTATAGCGATCGAGTCGGCGCTCGCAGACCCCACAAGATGCGCCTCAAACTCTCACGACTTCTTCTTCTTCAGTTAATGCTGGAATCCGCTCATTCGAAGTGGTTTCACTGGGGACGATGTGGGTTCGAGCTGTTTTTGCATTACTCCGAATCGCCTCTGCAAAATGAGAAGAATTCTTGCTCAGTCGATCTCCACGATACACCACGAGTCCGATCTGCATTGAAAACTTCAGTGAGATTACGATGCGTAATTGCTGCCTACCATTGTGGGAGTCAACACTTTTTGTGAAAATTTGCTTGAAAATCCGAAAAATTTTAGAAAACTAAATTGTAGAAACCAAGCCAGTCAATTGCTTTTTGTAACATATTTGGAGTAATCTTGAAAATGCAAACGCAACCAACTGTTAAATCCGATTTCGCTTTCACCACTTTAACTGCCCACGAGTCAGGGATGTGTGAGTGAAATAGTTTCCCATGGCATATTCTCAAGGATAAAGGGTAGAGTCTTCGTCGTTAATTACTCCCTTCTTTTAGAGATACGGCACCACTCTAATTATTTGAAACCGTAGTGGCTTATACAATGCGGGGGCGCCGATGTACAAGTCAGTATTCTTTTCCTCTCAGCCCATCTTGTGCCAATTCCCGTCCCCGAAGGGTAGGAGAAGAACTTCCCTCAGGGAAAAAAGGTATTAGAGAGAAGGGCACATCGAAGAGTACAGTCCTCATCATTACGTACTGTCGGGCGGTTCAGTGCGGCTGCGTTTGGCGCGGTGCCAAACCCGCTCTCCACCAGTATTTAAAGCGAGCAAATGATATGACTGTATTATATCCTCCGTATTACTCGTTTTCTACCACTTTTTTGTCGCATACGCGTTTCAAAAAGGCTGAGAACGGCTTCAACAGTGTGCACACTCATACTGGCTGACACGCCCCACCGGTCCGCAATGATGAGGACTGTACATGGGAAGTTGTCATGCTTCACTCTGGGCACGTCGTACGTTGGGAAATCTCTAGTGAGGGTTGTATTTTGGTCGGTGGAAGGGAGGGGAGTCGCATTTGTCCTGGGAAATTTTTTCGATAGTTTATTTTCCCTGTGTCACGCGTTTTCTTTGCCCGCTCGAAGGGAGGTTTTTGTGGATGAAGTGGAACTTCTTTTGGAAACGTTGAAAAAGTGCTAGGAAACATGGGAACTCAGTAAGGTGGTAGGTAGGATTGTGAAGAGGGGGAGGTCGTACCAGAGAAGGAAATTTGGGCGATCAGTTTTCCAAAAACTTTACCTAGTTGCGGAGCAGCTCCCTCCTTAATGGATAGTGGATTCCATCGCACCTCAGACAGAGAGTACGGTCGCTGTACAGCTAAGTATAACTAGAGCGAAAAGGAAATACAGTCAGAGGATATCTGATCGAGAGAAGACTGGGCCTGTAGCGACCAAAATAGGTTCCCGATGTGGATCCACAGTACGCTATCATACCTACCTAGAACTTCGCCCTGGGTTGGCTGGATGCTGCAGATTTGTTCATTTACCAGGAAAGGTCGACAAGTCGCCATGGCCATTCAGAATAGAATGCATAGTGGCGTGTGAGTCTCAGGACAGTGAACTCAAAGTTGTTTTTCAAGAATTTGCTGAACGATGCTCTTGGAGGAGTTAGGGGGAGGGGTCCAGTAACTTGTACAAGCCGAATACTCTTTGTGCTAGCTTCAAGTCGAATTCAAAAGTCAGTAGTTACAAGCGGTTGAATGGTGTAGTGGAAGGTGAATTGCTTTATAGATGCGAGAACAGGGGTTTGATTCCTGGCAGGTTCGCATTTTTGCTTTTTTCCGAAACACATTCTGTGAGTCCAGAAAATATGCATCCCATCTTGAATGGCCATGGCGACCTGTTGACCTTTCCTGGTTAGAAAGATAAGCACATATTATAGCTAATCATCGCATTTCATATCCAGTTCGCCCCCCGTCAGCCAGCATTTTGTGTGACCAAAATGCGTGGCGCACACAAATGGGTGGATAGACAACGACCCTTTCGCTCTTATTCAATTACAAATTCTCGTGACAAATTTTTAAAGTTGCATTCAAATTCTGGTATTTTTTCTTCCGAACAAAAAATAGAGAATGTATTCTCATGTTCAACATTCAGACCTATGTCCAGCCGGCTTAGTTCCGCTTCTAGCCGAATCAAATGGAGAGCCAAAATCATGTAAGCAGAGCATGGTAAGCATTATTGATTTAACTTATTATTATTGTTATTAATACTATATTATTATTATCCATTATCACTTGTTATCACTGTTGTTATTCATTTTACTCTATTATTATTATTACTAGTATCATTAATATAGCTAATTTTATTTTCATTAATGTTAATATTTGCTCGAAATCTTTGTTATTCTTTCAAGGGCTAGCGGAAGCGTGCAGTACGCTGTCGCCAAATTACTTCAGTTTTGTTGTTTAAGGATTGCCCGAAATGGCTACCACTGTGCGGAGAACAATATTTGTTGCGGCTCACCGGGCGCTTGTCCCGACAACAATCAACCTACGCAGGATAAGTTCGGTAAGATTTCAAAAGCGAATAGCATTTCCGTTAGAAATACGCTGCACGCTCACCTACAAAATGGGTTCTTGCCATGTGCGTGATGGGGAGGAATGCGCCACGATTTCGCCTTGACATGGGACATGACCCATGCAGTAAATTACGGGGCGAACGAGAGGTAAATCAGGGTTTCTGCGCTCTCGTAATTCTACCTTCTCGGTTTTTGTCAGACGAGTTTTGTAGGATACTATCGACTACGAATCAGTAGGAAGGTTTCGGTTAGCTCATATAGGGTCTAACTGGGCATCCAACTGTCAGGCTGTATGTGTGGCGAAAGGCGCCACTTGCCACTACACGAAACTCGCGTGCAATACCATGAGAACACTGCTCAGTATTGGAGAAATAAAGGAAAAGTTGTTATCGAGAAAGCACTATCTTAGTCGTATATTCCTTCCGTAGTGGTGATACTTGGGGTATTACCTCATCCTCCTATGTCTAGGGGATAATAGGGGAAACCGCCGCAGCTAAGCCGGTGCGACTTCATTGTGTGCTGCCTTCCAGACACTGCTGAATAGCAGTTCAAGCCTGATAGACGATAAACGTTCTCCGTCAACCGTGTTACTCGAACTCGATCTATGTGTAGCCAAATGTTCTATACTTCCATCTGCAGGTCGTCTAACCGCTTGCACTTCTCGAAATGGCAATACGTGCCCAGCTGGGTCACAGTGTATGGCCACAAACATTTTCTCTCAACGGCTCTGTTGCGAACAGGTACATATTTCAAAGCATTCTTAATCCAGACAACTGAATTTCTTTTCCACACTATGCTCTCCTATCAGATAGAAGACCACCTGCCTGGACTACTCAGTACCCTATCCGAGTTCACGATTCCCCCAGAAATGCAATCTAGGAGAGCCGTGGCAATGTGGTGATAAGCAGTGTATGCCAAGGTGAGTGAAGCGTTTTGGAGAGCCGTTTTATTATAAAACGAAGTTAGTGATAAGTAAAAAAGATGAAGTCGCCGACCATGATCAACCATTTTGTGGATTGCGGCACACAATCACTTTCCATCACAGGACGTAGTGGATTATATTCAAGCGATAAGGGTATATCCAGTGACTTGCGGGGGCGGGGCGCATCGTAACTAAGTCAGTGTTGTCATCTACCCGAAATTGGTTCCACACCGTCTTCGGGGGTAGAAAGCCTAATTGGCCTGAGCGGGAGTCGATCCGGGGATTGAACGCGCGACCGCGTGAGCGGTAAACAAGCGCCCGTCACCTCCGCGTTCTGAATCTAAATATCCAGGTCTAATTGTCTTGAGGGTGGAACATCTGAATCGTTGTCCTAGAAAGGGCATGTTCTACTCCAGATTATGGGACTGTTCTCCTTCACATAAAAGGACTGTCCTCCAATCAGTTCATCAAACCAATCGCTCCTATCCCCCTAGACGAAGGCACAGATCCCCTGTCTTCTTTGCGGATTCTCAACTGGCATAGAGAGGCCCTTTCAATACAAAAGGGTTACTATCCACGAAATGATCCATGAAAAACGGTGGTTGCGAAAATGGTCATTGACAGGGTTTTGTTTAGCACCTTTGACTTACCTTTGATCGTTGTTAGGGCCCCAACGGGGTAGTCGCTAGAGAGCAGGGGTTTTATCTGGCGTAATAACGGAGCATATTTTCGCCTAACGCGCACTATATAGGTCCCTAGTCGTCAGCGCTGCAAAACCGCCAGATCTTATATCGGCTGGATGAGCCTGCCCCCCCTCCTCCATTTCCCCCCAACCTCAAAACTGCAATTTTTTCTAGCAAAATTTGGCAAGATGATCACTCGATGTGGACGGGGGTCGTAGCGGAGGTTAAAGTTTGGGGGAACCACAGTAGCATACTTTTCAGGGCCCGTACGTGCCTTGCTGATGGTTGATGGAGAACGAAGCCGTGCCTGCTTCGTTCTCCATCAAAGCTCAGGAAAGCAGATCTGTTTCTAGGGATCCTTTCCGCGAAAGATGTTGCAGATCCATAGGTGTCTATGTCGTGTATTATAGTGTAAAGGACGCTGCAATGCATCAAATGGAATTATTCGTTTGCAATTAGCGAGTAGGGAATTTTTCAGAAGTAAAGTAAAGATTTATACGTGTTTATATTTGCAGCAATATTCCGAACGTTAACATTTGTTGCCAGTCGACAATAATTCGCCAAAGAGAGGTAAACCCATGCCCGAATGGCTGGTCACCGAATGATGGCGTAATTACGGTAAGAATGGCATTCGTTTACTTACCATTTAGCATATTTATTTCTACGGTATACCATTACAACGGCAAAGGAAACCATGGATCAAGAGCCCTGGGCTACAGGTGCAGCGGGTCTGTTTCTTGCCGGCAAAGGTTGGCAGGTTGGCTGACGGGGGACCTAGTCACATCAAAGCTGGCATTCGCAGATACTAAAATATCACCCCTAGCGCCTTATGAGTCTAATCAAGCCTGGTTGCCATACCCTCGTGTTCGCTCTGGGTGCGAGGCATGTTCAGAGGGCTGGGTTGGCTTGGCGTCAGTTGGTATCCATACAGTTGTGGTCTCTTGCTAGCTTCCACAATCCATGGAGAACATGCTGGCTCCCAAATGACATATTTATAGACCACGATCGAGCTGGTGGTAAGTTATGGGTATGTGGCAACAGAATCGTAATTCGCCGCGCCAGTGGGCGTCGCTCGCGATGTCTCGCGTACTGGTCGAGAATAGACAATGTATGACCAAAAATAGACATAAGTGTCTACCATGTCCTTGTCTACATGAAATCCGATGCTCCAATCGAAAGGTAGTGCAAATTAAGGAAACGCCCATTGCCGCGCGCGTTGAAGCTACAGTTTACGATTGCCTTGCCTTGCCCGTTTCCCGGTAAGTTATCGTAACTATATGTGCATGATCAGGGAGACAGGTCCTTCTGGCAGAATGAAGTTTCGAAAGTCAACTAGTCGACCAAATGTTCCTTTTGCTTTGTTTGTCGTCAGTTATATGAATTATTTTTTAAGATATGACTTTTTTCAGTACTGCACGCCATCATTTCAAAGCTCGTCATGTCCAGGATTTTCATCCTGCCTGCGTTCGTCCAGCGTCGAGCAACAATTCCTTTGCTGCGCACCGGGTCAGTGAGACCACGTGACATTTCTCAAACGTGTAGCAATCCTTAATACTGCCTAATTTATCTGCAAATCCGGTTTTTCCATATTTGTTTATTTTGCAAGTATAAATTGTTCTCGTGTTTCTATGACAACTCAGAAACAAATCGCTTTGCGATGCTTTTTTGAAAGATGTTCGAAACTGTGAACGACCCTTGGATGCACCTCCCATCACTGATGCGCGCAGCTGTGAACCAACTATTTGTGTAGTCTCAATCCCTTGCAATCGGCTGGCTGGAGATTTCAACCATGGCCCCCTGCCATAATACTAGTAAAACGGATGGGATGCCTTAGTGTAGGATGGTCAATGGTCGTCCCGCCCCACGACATAAATCGTGGCAATGCTGTAAGCTGAAAGATACCTTTTAATCGATACTATATTGGTTCGTATTTAGCGATGGCTACCGCTGCTGCTCTCGATAGCTGCATTGATCCCATGGCAACTGTCGAATTTGATCAAGGCGTTCAGCGCAAATGCTTGCCAAACCACAAACTCCTGCTCTTATTGGGTGGGTCAACCTTTTGCAGATTTAAGTTATATGTTTTCTGAGAGGCGATACTTTGAAGCAGCGGAAAATAGAAATTTACTCCTCTGCACTCTTGTACACTGTTTGTCCTGGCGATTCATTTATCATTGCGCTATTTCGTCAACTTTGTTCCTGCAGGGGCCGAAAAAAATCCACGCAGCAGAAAAAACAATTCTTTCACAACACTTCAACTAAGCCTCTCGGCTGGCGCGATAGCTTCCACATGAAACCATAACGGCTCCCCACGAAGGGCCTGCACATACCTCAGCAGTGAAGAGGGATTGCTCGCCGAATTGATCAAGAAAGGGCTAGTTGCCGGCTAGGTGTCTTTCGAAGACATCCGAAGCGCGACATAGATCTGAAGTCAGCACTCTTAGACCATTAATCCTTAGGGGGGAGGGGGAGGGAAAAACTCACAAGTGCGCTGGATTCAACACAGAGAGATAGAGACAGGAAGCGAAACGGTAGAGAACAGGAAGAAGCGAACGGCATACACTGTCCCAAAGACAAAAGACTGCGTATCTGTGTTAGTGGGCATAAGACCACCAGCATATCTCGTCTCCATATGGGTTGTGCATCTTGGGTTTGCGTTTCTCGGGCTAGTCACCCCGCCCACCACTCACTGTTGTGCTGCGGAAGTGGAGCAATTTCTGAGATTTTGGGCTGAATCAGTGAAAGGAGTTTCACCAGTCGGCTAATCTTAGAATCAGTCTTAAAACCAAACCAGAGTTCCGGTAGGTATAAAGGAATGGAAGAGTAAACCTTTAGTCATCGATCTATCCCTGTTTGGGATGCGACACGCCTTCTGTTTCTATTTAGAATCGTAGTAGCTCACTAAATGAGGGTGTGACCAGCCGAATGTCTAAAGCGGTGTTTTTATCCTCCCAGGCGAACCTGGTTCCAGTTAAGCGTCTCAGCAAGGTGAAAAGCCTGGTTGGCCTGGCCATCTAGTGACATGTCGAGAAAACGCCGTGATGGAGCGCAGGAAGAAGTACAGGCTATCGTGGAACTGCCCCAGATGGCATACAGGCGAATGGCTAGAGCTATCGAAGAGATCGGAGCAGCACTCTCCGTAGCCTTTGGAATGCAAAGAGATCAGTCTCGTTCGAGAGTTGGAAGCTCTGTTTGCTTCAAGAGAGCAACCTAATGTTATTTCAGTCCTTTATGAAGCAAAAGCAAGCGTATGAAACTGCTCGCCACTCCTACATTGAGGGACACTGCATCCAGCCTTTCTTTGGTGAAAATGATTACTTCTTTAACTTTTTTATTTGTCTCTTTTTCCCATTCTAGGGTTGGAGTTCGTCGCACGCTTAGACGCACGAAATATCTGCCTTCTAGACAAGGCAGGATTCTAGACAGAGGCTCAAACAAGGCAGACTCTAGTGGGATCTTTCATGCTGAATCGTAAGGTATCGGGGGTTCGTTTGCTGTTCACAGCCGCTGCGCAAACATGCTGAGCCGGTCGAATGGGTGAAACGCCTATTCCGTCCTGTTATTATTGGACTACCACAACTGTTCATGGCCTACTTTTATCTTAACATGGAAAGCTGCCCCACATCAACACCTTTATGAATTTTTTGGTTTTCTCACAAATAATGTATGAAATCACATCTTCTTATTCAAGTTTACCTTGCGCCGTGACAGAAAAATCTGCCAGACTGTTTCAGTCCTCTTTCCTTCGCTGCTTCCAATATAGGGCCGGGAACAAGTCGAAAAGAAGGATTTTCGCTGAATCGTTTCCACATTCTTTCCATCTTGAGCACACGAACAATTTTTGATTTCCTCCTGATGTGTCGTGTTCGTTGATTTAACGACGTCCAGTGGCGATCGCCATGGTCTCAAAAAGTGTTGCGATATTTGTCTAGAAAGCGATCACCGTCGCTGCTTTCGAGTGGACCGAAACCCTAGAATGACGCACAGTTAATGCTTTCAATCTCTCTACTCATCGCATTTTTAAGGCAGGTTTTTTATCCAAGATTTACACTTCGAAATTTATTTTGCCTTTTCGAGCCATTTTAACCAAGAAAACATTGTCGTAGAAGTTACACTATTACACAAGCTGTATACATTCTAGGGCTCGACTCAGAGAAAGGAGGAGGCCTTTTGTACTTTCACTAGTTTCTTTTCTGCCAGTTCCCGTCATATAACACTCCTGGAACCCTAGTGAAGCTGCAAAATGATGCAAGTGAGCCAATACGTTCAGAAGAATTTACAGGTCCTCACCAGGTGGCCTGTACGAGCTTTGCTCAGTACCATTCGGCAACCAAGCAAGCCGAACTGATAGTGTAGTTTAACACCTGTGCGGTGGCACCTATGGTTCTCAGCAGGATCTGTGATCTTTTAATTTTTTTATTGTTTCATGTCATAATGCATATCATTACACGCAAATCATGTTATTAAGTAGATATCTTATTTTTTTGTTACACTCAACTATTATTTTATATTTATTTTCCTTTTTATTACTGGAAGCAAATAGTCGCCCTCTTCACAGTTTGTAAGTTTCACATTAGGCATCGCAAAGTGCAGATTGAAGCAGCAGTAAGCGGCAGGACACATTGGAAACCTATTCCCATCAATTTCACCACTGTGTTCAGGTGCTGAAAAATGTTGGGTCCCGGTAGGAGCCGTCACCTCTGCATTCGGAGCAACACCGCTTACCCAAAACACTACGGAAATCCCATATTGCTTTCGTCCTGCATTTCCAAAAAACAGCACAGTCAAACAGAATCAGATCTTATGTTTCCAGAAATGCTATAGTCATGAGGAACAAAGGGTTAAGCTTTCTGCGTTGGGCCGCTGCTTTCGGAATGCGCCATGTTTTCTACTTCCATCACGATGGCTGTGGTTTTCGAACATGGGCTGTATAATCACTTGCGATGGAGAGCTCATGTAAAAATCACTGTTGTTTCCCCAGACTAATCTAGCTGGGATTTATAGCCCGCATGGACTGGAGACTCGGTTCTCTCCTCCTGCGTGGGAGTCTACCAGACACTTAACTCGAACTTCGTCTTCGCCGTGAAATATGAAGAATACTGATGGTCACATAGGCCTGGTCCTGAAAATAAAAATTAGCCGATGATTTTTAACGGTACC